GGGGGGGGGGGAGGAAAGAGAGGGTGTAAGATTGTCAGAGGTGACTGAACGGGAGAACAGATTGAGAATGGGGAAAGACACGAGAGGAAAGAAAATCAGGGACGTTCCGCACCCGGCCGAATTGGCAATGGTGAATGGGTGGAAAGTGGGACGGTTGTTGGGTTAGATTTTTATGCACCGGCGGCGGGGCCCGAGCAGGAACTGGGCATAATGTCTAATGTCTGGTCACGACTAGATGCCTACTCCACCAACGCCACTCACGGGTGGTGAAATCTCACTCATCGGCAGTCGGCAAAGGACTAATAGACGGCTGACCAGATTCTAGAAGTATGCAGTGGTTGGGAAGGGGAAAGACTAAGGGCTGTAGAACCAATTGACAGCAACGCCATGCAAGCAGAGAGAGTTTGCGGGGTAGAAAATTATAAGTTATGAGTAAAATTGGGAGTTGGTTGGTCTGAGGATGTCAACCCCGACGGAAATGAGCAGCTGATCAATTGAGCCAAGCATTTTAGCTGTCTGGCGGGGAGAGACAATAATTGAAAATGTTTGGATGTAGATAGATAGTCATGACTGCACCTGCACCGTTGATATACTCAGTACCTCGTAGATACTGATTGATTGCAGATCCTTCCATTCCTCATGCGGCTTTCCCTCGTGGCTTGTTGGCACGTGACTATTCCTGGTCTTGACATTCTTCAGGTATTGGAGAGGATCGGGACCCCGTCCCTTGAGCCTTGCCCTCACTCATACTTATGATCCGGCAGGTAGGCAGGTGGAGTGGTCCTACTATAGCAGATAAAATTTCTACTCTCATCCCGATTACTCACTCCAGGATCTGGTGTCATATCTTGTCACTCCGTATCCTACAGTCCTGTCTACTTCGCCCCGCGGTTCAACAAATGGTCTCCTGCAGGCATGTGCTCCGCTTGTATCTTGGCTCCTGTGTTAAGTAAGTAGTGGTCAAGATATTGATGTCCAGTTCGAAAGATGCCAGGACACTCGCATAGTTCGTGCCCTCTGATGAGATCAAGCCACAGGCATTGACGGTGACCAACAACAAGATGAAGGATTGAACACAACGCATCATCGATGGATCATTGTGGCTTCTGATTGCGACGAGCAGTGTAAAAACTAGACAAACTTACTCAGTAAAGCACAATGCGTTGTCGACAGGGCTGACCCTTGGTTCTTCGTTCCGTTCGGCTGAAGCGAAATGCCAGATATCAGATAGGCCATCAGTCAGCCATGACGTAAACTGGCAATGGCTGTCTCACCATCTTGGTGTCCATGTGCCATGAATTCTCCATGCATCCTGTGAGATGCGGGCCAATACAGATTGACCACTGAGCTCCGACCGTGCTCGTTACCGCAATATCAATATACGTGACACTGCGCACCGCCCAATCATGCCGACACAATAGCCGATCAACACGCCACTGTCATAATCCCTCGAAGCCTATTTCATCATCTCTCGTCTCATGGCCCTGGATCTTGCTCAGGGTCCTACTATCACCTAGCATGGCCGAGCATTTGGAGTGAGAAGGTGCTGGTGACCAGTGCTTCTTGTTTCCACGAGACAATGATATCATCGCTGCACACACGCGGCCCGTGGCAAGAGTACTGGGATGCATGCCCACCACCATGCTCTATAAAGGAATGCTTCAGAGCAGTGTCATTAGGTTTTTTTCCATCATTCCACTTCTCTAACCACCATAACCAGACTCCTCTTAATCAGTCCCTGTCGATAACAAAACTTACCGAACATATAATATCCATCCTACACGCATCATGTCGTCTGGAGACAACAACAACAACAACAACGGTACGTATCATCTATCTCATATATACCTTGTTAGAATGGCTTCCGCCCTCCCCCCTTCGTAGGGAGTTATAATGCTTCCTTTGGATCTCTTTTGTGGCAAATCTGCCGCCCACTGGTTGCTAATCTGGGCTAACTAGTCAACCTCTTGCAAGGGCTGACAGACACCCTTGGCAAGACTGTCGGAGGCCTCACAGATACGGTCGGCGGTCTTGTCGGCGGAGTAGGCCAGACGGTCGGCGGAGCTACTCAGGGTCTGGGGAAGACTGTGGGCGGCGTGGGCGAAGGCTTGGGCAAGACGGTCGGAGGAGCCAGTGAGGGCGTGGGAAACACGACCAAGGGCCTCGGACAGTCGACCAGTGACATTCTGAGCAGCATCAATGGCGACCGGACTGGCGACAACGCGCGGAGGTGGTAATTGGAGGTGCGAGGTGTTTGGATGCCGATATGATACGATATGATGTGATGTGATGCGGTTTGATGCGGGCCTAATCTTCTGCTGCGATCGACTATATTTGAGTTCATGTCGATTCCTGTATTAGTATGATTTTTTCCCCAAATTTTCCCAAACCATAAGCCTTGGTTCAAAGCTTCTTAGTATGACTTGTCGGTAGTTCGACTCTTAAGAATTCCAGGGGGTAGATGCAGGTGCAAGCGAGACCTGTCCGGAAGAGATTCCGAGATCGGGAGTGGAAATCCATTGCGGGCGCGTCCTGGGGAAATTCCGCCTTCGGAAAACGGAGGTTTCCGCAGGGGAATCCCCCGCCAGCAGACTGGACGTCGCCGGTTGGTTGAACTGCTGCTTCCAAACAAGTCTGATCACACAAGGTCCCCTCGATGAAATTGTGACTTGGAGGTTCAGATGATGGAAAAGACCATCATATCGAAAGATGGGTGGAGGTGACCCGTAGTTGACGTGCGGCCGTCAAAGTATTAGACCTCCAGCTTCCATCCAGTCTCCATAACAACAATCCAGAGCGCAATCACCATTTTATCAGATTCCGAGCGGATCAGATACTGGATCACCGCTGGTTCCGTTCCCCAGTGGGGGTTTCCGAAGGCTTCAAGATTCGCGATTATTATGCGTATGCTGTTGTACTTACTAGGTAGTACTTGATTATGAGTATCTCTGTACTCCGTACAGACGTTGCCAATTCCTTTCTCGCAACCGATTGGGTCGCATGCAACAACCACATTAGGTAACGACATCAGAGACGTATAGTAATGATCATCTTGCCTGTGAATCACGGCGAAGTATCATGCAGCTGGAGAGCTGTCTCTTAACCCCGATTGGGTAGGACTTGCGCTCATTATTGAGATATTTACCCGTAGTCGTTAGTCCCTTGTTTGTATGAAGTAGATTGGTAATATCGACTCAGTGGGCGGTCTAGACAAGAGGGCGTGCAGGACTCGAGTCGCAGTCTGCAGGTTTCTAAGCTACCTAATCAGTGGCTGGCCTGGTCCACTGACTAAGAACGATTGTCGCGGACAGGGTGACAGGGTGTGGGCGCATCGTCTCTAGGCTAGCGCAATGCATTTTCCTGGGCCGTTTCATCATGCCATGGGGGCCATCCGGCTCGATACCTCCACAAATACTGGGAAATACTCAGTAGACGTCGAGGATGGCCATCGATATGATCTGCACCGGATTGTATGGCATGAGAATAGGCGTCAAAAATCAAGGGGTGGTGATTGGCTCTGGATTGAGGGGAAAGAGGGGACGCAGAGATCGGAGAAGTTGGGGAAAGGCACGGTGGGTGCGGGGTAATTGGCGTCTTCGTTGATATGGGGGTGGTAGGTCGAATACTATTATTGTTTGAGCATGTCTAGAGAGGTCAACTGAGTAATCGCTGGAGGGGATGACTGCGATCATCATGAATGTTGCTCTCTCTATCAGTTAATGCAACTGAGCTCAAGGTATCTGCAGTAGGTTTAGTCTCTCTCCGCGGAAAGACCTGCTGTTTTAACCTCGGCGCCGGGAAAGATGGATTGGCAAGTGGACCCCAACAGCAACTTGTTGACCTTCTCCCCCAGTTTCATTGGCCTCCAGTCTCATTATTCCTCTTCATCGTCGGCTCCAGCCAAGGTCAAGCTCCATCCGATGTGAGAGGAAGAAAGAAAGAGAGGGAGGAGGCCCGGGGGAGGTTCCTGGATTCATTCAGATCCCGCCCTTCCGAGTCTAGTGTTTTCTTTTCGGAAAATTCATATATTTACTACCTACTTACCCCCAGCCTCTGTCCTCCCTTCTTTTACCAATCCTACGATTACTAGTTATACATACCTCTTCTCAATTTTCCTTTCGTCTTGTCCTTTTATCTTCCCATTAGGACTATATACCCATTCTCTGTCATTACTGTATCTTCTTCAGCCATAATATTCCCCACCATCCACCATGGGTAAAGAAAATGAGCCTAGTACGTTCACTTCCTTCCTCATCATACCACCCACCATACGTAACTTGAGGTCAGAAACCAAATTAACCATTGACTTCCACCTCCAGAGACCTACCGCTACAATGAGACCCCAATTTACACTACCTCCAATGGCTGCCCAGTTCGTGCACCCTCGCTTCCCTCTCAATCGATCTTGCTTTGTCGAATTCGCCATGGCTAACAGTTTCTCGCCAGGTCATGGATCCCCAGGCCGCTCAACGAGTTGGTCGCAACGGCCCTCTGCTCCTCCAGGACTTCCACTTGATCGACCTCCTTTCCCACTTTGACAGAGAACGTATTCCGGAGCGGGTGGTTCACGCCAAGGGTGCTGGCGCCTACGGCGAGTTTGAGGTTACCGACGATATCAGCGACATTACGGTCATTGACATGCTGAAGGGCGTGGGCAAGAAGACAAAGTGCTTCACTCGTTTTTCCACCGTTGGAGGCGAGAAGGGCTCGCCTGACAGCGCTCGTGATCCCCGTGGTTTCGCCATCAAGTTCTACACCGATGAGGGTAACTGGGACTGGGTCTTCAACAACACCCCTGTGTTCTTCCTTCGTGATCCCGCCAAGTTCCCCATCTTCATCCACACCCAGAAGCGCAACCCTCAGACCAACCTCAAGGATGCTACCATGTTCTGGGACTACCTGTCCACCCACCACGAGGCCGTCCACCAAGTCATGCACCTCTTCAGCGACCGCGGTACTCCTTACTCCTACCGCCACATGAACGGCTACTCCGGTCACACCTACAAGTGGATCAAGCCTGACGGTACTTTCAACTACGTCCAGATTCACATGAAGACCGACCAGGGCAACAAGACCTTCAACAATGAGCAGGCCACTCATCTGGCCGCTGAAAACCCGGATTGGCACACTCAGGACCTGTTCGACGCCATCCAGCGCGGCGAGAACCCCTCCTGGACTTGCTACGTCCAGGTCCTGAGCCCCGAGCAAGCTGAGAAGTTCCGTTGGAACGTCTTTGATTTGACCAAGGTCTGGCCGCAGAGCGAAGTACCCCTGCGCCGCTTCGGCAAGTTCACCCTGAACAAGAACCCCGAGAACTACTTCGCCGAGGTTGAGCAGGCCGCTTTCTCCCCTTCGCACATGGTCCCCGGCGTCGAGCCCTCGGCCGACCCCGTCCTCCAATCCCGCCTCTTCTCCTACCCTGACACCCACCGCCACCGTCTGGGCGGCAACTACGAGCAAATCCCCGTCAACTGCCCGCTCCGGGCCTTCAGCCCCTGGCAGCGCGACGGCTACATGAACGTCAACGGCAACTACGGCGCCAACCCCAACTACCCCTCCACCTTCCGCCCCTACCGCTACCAGCCCGTCAAGGCCAGCCAGGAGCACGAGAAGTGGACGGGCTCGATTGTCACGGAGCAGCTCCCCATCACCGACGACGATTATGCTCAGGCAAACGGTCTCTGGCAGGTCCTCGGCCGCCAGCCCGGTCAGCAAGACAACTTTGTCCACAACGTCGCTTCCCATCTCTCGGCTGCCCACGAGCGCGTTCGCCAGGCCACCTATGCCATGTTCAAGAAGGTCAACCCCGACCTCGGTGCCCGCATCGAGAAGTCGACGGAGGCCAAGGCCACTGGGGTCAAGTCTGCCCGTCTGTAAATCAGTATTCGCTTTCTTTTGGCCTTTCTTACTGCCCCAGCAAAAGAGCCCACGAAAGTCGCCCACTCCATTTAGCGATGATCCAGCCTGTGTCTTTTTCCTCTGTAAATGTGACAGAAGCACCCTCACGAAGTTCCTTGATCTGAAATGATACCTTTGACAATTCTCTTTTAGCTTTGTCTCGTATTTCTTTCAAGAGTGTCAGTGTATACGTAGCTCTCCAGCAGTCCCATGTGTTGAGGTTGCAATAGTGTCGTGGTTCCTTGGTAGTACCAGTAACGGACAAGAGGCAATTTGAATGATCTCTCAAGATATTGCGTGTATGTAGATATATATATGACTTTGATATGATGTAGTCCCCAAGAAAACGCCCAGAACAGCACACAGCACAAGGATGGAAGGACACGCACATCGCAAGCCAAGGAGCTTTATTCCAGAAAGTAAATGCAACTGTGCCCAAGTAAAGAAAGCGACAAACCTACCGTTTCCAGACCCTAGCAAATGTTTGTCAACAGAAGAATGTGAAGGGTTAACCAAGAAGACCCAGAATGAAATGCTCAAAATAACTTGGAAAGAAAAAGCAAATAGTAGTTGCACATGTTGCGCCCGCTCGGAAATACAAATTCGACGGCCCCTTGCGAGGGCTCAAGTCTTGGATGCGATGATAGTCAAAACAGACCAGAATTCTAGATTTGGAGGGAGTTCTGCGGTGGTGGAATGGAGCCGCAGGGCTTGAGTTGAGGGCGGAAAGATGCTGAATGGATGGGCCCCTCTAGGAAGGGAGAGTAGGGGCAGGAGTGATCAGATGTTCGTGCGGGGTCGGAGCGTCCCAGCAACCCCAGAAGAAGCCGGGCTTGCCGCATTTGGAGGTCGTGTCGGGAGGCGGCGTCCTGGAGGCTGTGGCTGTGGCGGTTCTTGTGGAGGTGGGGTCGCGACAGCCGAACCAGCCGGGATGCTTGCAAGTGGTGGTTGCTGAGATGGGTTCGGTGGTCGTGATGGATGGTGCGCTGGTCGCGTCTGAGGTAGTGGTCGCGTCTTTACAGCCGAACCATCCTGGAGTCTTGCAGGTGGATGTAGATGTCGATGTGGTCGTCGTTGGTGGCTCTGTTGTGGTTGTCTTGTCTAAGCATCCCCACCATCCTGGGGTCTTGCAGGTCGATGTTCGGGTACTGGAGAAGGAAGTCGACGTAGATGTGGCCGTGGTCGTCGTCGTGGTGATCTCGGAGCCGTTGCTGCGGAAGAACTTCCAGAGTTCGCAGTCATAGCATTCTTCCTCGGGGGCGCAAGGCGGCAAATCATCATAGTCCTCAAGAACGTTAGAGATAATGAATTGGATGCGGTGTCTGGTCATCCCGACACGCCAGCCTTTGTCTTCCACGGTGTCATAAACACACATCTGACCCGTGTGGCATGCTGACTCCATGGCATAACCACCCCACGTGCATACAGAACTAACGCCGTTGCATGTCCCCATGTACACGGGGTCTGCAGTGTGGCCGAAGTGGTAAGACCCGGTGAACTTGCGCGACTGAGGGAATCGTGAATCATGACCTGGGGGGCTGGGAAGACCAAGGCGAGCGGCAGGTAGGGCTTCTGGCACGGCCTCAAAGGTGACCGCTGGTACGCCGACCGTCAGGCCTAGTAAGCTGGCCACGGCGCCACCCAAAGAATGGCCTGCTAGCCATATGTTGGCATCTGGGTACATTTCGATCACGTTCGAGTAAAGGTCCAGCGAAGCACGGTAGTATCGATTTTCGTCCTGCATTGCCTCGACGATGCACGTGAGATTGGCCGTATACAGCGATGTCTGGCAATCGCACACCTGGCGCCAGAGATATGAACCTCCCTGCCCACAACAGCAGCTGAACATAAGATTATCGTTGAGCTTATCATTTGTGGTAGTGCCCTCTCCGTCGAAAACCGCCGGCGATGTGCCTTTGATAGAAATGACGACAGTACTGTTTGTCTGGTCGGCGTAGACGTGCCCTCGTAGCCCGTCACCCTGCCACCCAAAACTCCCGGAATGATTGAAGCGACCATGTATATCTTGCCATTCACCCGTACCTGGCTCTTCGATATAATCATTTGCAGTCATCTTCGCCATCGTAATGACTGTGTTTTTATCTGTAACGTTGGGGCCGGCCAGCGTATCCATGACCCAAGCCTCTGGTGACAAAGCCACCGCCGATCCCGAGGACCTGGCGGCTGATAGATAATCATCGATAACTGAAAGACGTCGATCTGCGAGCCGTTGGATGGTGAGTGGCTCGGAAGTTGCAAGCAGCGGGGTATTGACGGCGACAGGTTCGGATTCAAGGCCATCCTCTGAGACGGCCAGAAGACGGGTCTCTGGCTGGATGTCCAGCCTTAGGTGGAGATTGGGGTCTTGATACGTCCCTCGATGGAATAAGTGGCGAAGTGTCTACTTGATCAGTGGCCGTACGACAAAGACAGGGTTGCAGCACAGATCTGTCCGACTTACAAATTCATGGGTGCCGGATAGCGATGGTGAGTCCGCTAAAGGGATCTGGGGGGGAAGAAAGGGCGACGATTGTCGGGAGCCGAAGTATACGGGCTGATAAGCGGAGACAAGGCCTGGGAGCAGTGCTACAGGCCAGAAAAGATCCGAGATCTTAGTATCCCAGAGGGAACGTTTTCTCGCTCGTCCTCGATAGCTGTTCATAGCGATATGCGTGGGGGGAGAGAGGAGGAGAAGAAGATATGGGGATGCAGGGATGGGTGCTTGCAGAGGCAAGAGGAGTGATCCAAGTCGAACGGAGATGGCGATCTACTGTTCCGCGGTAACTGACCTACTGACCTGACTTGCCTTGACCTGACTTATCAATGGGGAGGCGGTGAATGACGCACCTCATAACTTAGTTATCATTAATGCGGAGGTCCTCACTGCCCGCCCACGTGACCTTCCCCCTCTCCCCGTCCCGTTCCTTTCCCAAGGCGGAAGTTGTTGACAATTCCCGTCCCGGCCTGGTGATTCTCTTCCTAACTTATACATCGAGTGCTGACTGACGGGCAGGCCGATCTCCATAGTGGTACTCCTGCGCCGCTGTGGATTGCTGTCTTTCATCATGCTTGTGCGAGTGTTCTTCTCTTAAAACTCGATTGATCTCCTTTCATCTGCATTTCTTTCTCTTATTTGTGTCTGTTTTCCATTGGGTTTCTATCCCACTTGGGGATTTCCAGCTGTCATCTAGTCTAACGCACTGGCCCCCCCCCCCATACATACATCGATCTGCATACGCCTATCACCTGGACGTGAAGGCTCCATCACTTGACCTAATATCACAATTCAAAGGTTTGACTGCAGGAACTATGTCAGTCAACACTCCCGATCATGGCGTTGGAAAACCACGCCTCCATACTGCGCGCTCGTTCCCTAGAATGGATTCATCTGAGCCCAGCCCTTTCATCCGCTCCAGAGCCAAGACCGTCCAGTCGGTGGCAATTCCAGAACTGGTAGACTCGGAATCGCTTCCTTTGCCTCTATCGTCAGCAGAAGATGAGCAGGATTCCGGCCCAGACCTGTTTGAAAAGACCGGCTCCCCGGACTTGACACACGACGAGGACGGACATGGAGAGGAAACGTCGGTTCTCTCGCGAGGCATGCAAGACCACACGGAAGAGCTTCCCATCGAGCTGATCAGTCTTACCGATAGGTACAGTCTTTTTGCTAGGCTGCCGCTAGTCTTGATCAACACGATTGCTAATATGATGTTATGCAGATTCGTCAACTCCCTCACTGCCAAAGTCCACTCGTCACCGCCAACGGCCGACAGGGTATCAGATCGCTTCCAAGAATTCTACGAACGGGCCGAGGCACATATCGCTACCCATATATCAGCTCTTGCGTCACGCATAAATCGTGATCCGTCGCCGTACGGCAGCAGAGGGAACTCGAACACTCAGGGCTCGGATGGGCGGCAGATGCTGACTGCCTCGGAAGTGACAGAAAAGAGGATCGCTCGGAAGCACCTAGCGTCCAAGCGCATTGCTCTGGAGGAGGCTGTAGAGCGGAGGGCTTGCGAGAGCATTTATGACAAGTTATGGAGGCACAAAAGCACCCTGGATGAAATTAGGGACGAAAAGTTACGCTCAAAGACGGCGGCGCTTCTCCTGGTTGGCATAAACCTAAAAGATCTTGGGATAGAGCTCGATGTAAGCTCTATCAGTGAGGAGAAGCAGAAAGAGGCCGATGACTGTCTTTCGATCGCCCGTGATTGCCTAGCAAAGATGAACGACGAGAAATATCCTTTAGGCAAGCTTCAACAACTGGCCGCCGCGCACAAGGCCATAGTTGATGCTCTGACTAAGTTACTGCCGTCATCATCGTCTGCCGATGAGATTCTACCTACTTTGATCTACTGTCTCATCACCAGCCCTCCCGAAGGGATGAACGTCATAAGCAATCTGCTCTTCATACAGCGATTCCGATCATCCAGTAAGATGGATGGTGAGACCGCATACTGTTTGACGAATCTTGAGGCCGCTATTAGCTTCCTCGAGAATGTAGATCTGTCTGACCTCCGCGGAGGAGCGCTGCATGAAGACCAGACCAAACCCTCGAGTGATGATTCGACGACAGTCACGAAGACTGACTCCCCTCAGCCTACCAAGGACACACCAGTGTCGTCGGTCACATCAGCGACTGCCTCGCCCGAACTATCGTGGCCAGCTGGACCAGGAGCATCAGCCGCATTTCCCAGAACACAGTCTACGAGAAATACTCAACAAGGCCGGCTGAATAACCTATTCCAGCCTCCTGCGAAGGTGCTTGGTGCTGCGAACGACGCAGTCCGTAACACCGCAGATCAGGGCTTGAAAAATATAGGTGCATCGTTGGACAGCAGTTTCAACTTCCTTTTTGGTCGCTTGAAAGAATTACAAACTACTCAGTTTGCTACCAAAGACGGAGGAAACGCAGTTGTGCCAAAGACACTAGCAGAAGCTCGACGTCTGGTTACGTCGCCGATTGCGTCTGAGAGCAGTCTGAACCCTGATATCAATGCAGCCCGCGAGCCTCGTGCCACTGATCGACCGCAACTGCGGCGAATTGGCTCCAAAGCAGAAGACACTCTCTTAGGGTTGGTTGGTGGTCAGAGAACGCCTCGCGATCGAAGTGCGGACAGCGTTCGGACGCAGGGTAGCGTTAGGAAGACGGGCGTCTCTTCAGGTCTGCAGAAAGATGAGTCTCAGGCATCGCCTGCAATGTCCTCGTCAACATCGACACCTACGCCCCTCGAATCCATGCGGAGCTTTGGGAACACGCTCAACCCACTTAATCACATTCCTGGCATGATCAGAAGCTTCAGCCGTGCTGCTCCGGAAACACCGAGCACCACCTTCTCATCCCCCAACACCCCGACCGAGAGAATCAGGCAATCGATCGTCTCCCGCGACTCTTCATCCTCCATCCACAGTACCTCATCGAAAACTGATCCGAAGCCCGAGCCGCCCAAAGTTGACCCGCCTATTCAACGTTTTGTGCAGATGCAGAACGCCAGCGAAATGACCATCGCAGATGTGTCTACCCTTCTTGAGGATTACAAGCGGCTTGCTGCAGCATTATCGAAGCAGACCTCGAACTGACGCAATGCTGTCGGCGCAGCTACAACACTCATTTTGAATTTCTCTTATATTGATTCCGTGTATTATCATCTCCATGGCGTGGGACGTAGTGATCCTTGACGTTCCTTTGTGATCGGTTGGTTCTCTGTGAGATTGTGGGATCACTGCTGGCGTTCAGTGGTCCCAAACCAAGCATGTTGCATTTTCCAGCCAGTCGGGCATATTATCAAGTTTTTTGTCTAGCATTTTTCTCAGGACCAACAATGCGAAGCTTCTTCATCTTCTTTTTCTCCGAGAAAGGGTCTATCACGTAGACGGGGGTATATTGATATTTGTGTATTGTTAAGAAAGAGGAAGAAACACGAAAATGCCATGAACCCCATCGAAGCACATATTAGAGCTGGTATTCCCATCTGCCCATCCAGGGAATCAAACAATAAGACTAAAAGCCTGCTGCAAAATGCAAATTTGAGCCTCTTCCTCTTCCGACCTCACATACACATGAAAGAAGCACACTCACTCCCTTCTCTACCTTTTCGGCAACTCTCACTGAGTAGGGGACCGCCCCCGAAGAACCTCCGTCCCACCACTTTTCATATCCTTGAGCTTCCGGGACAACTCGGCGGATTGCTCCTCGACCAGCTCGTGCCGTCTCCGGATCTCCGCCTCGAAGACGGCGGCGGTCCGTCGGCGCGCGCGCCGCAGATCCTTCATCTTCGTCAACGTCGCGGAGAACTGGTCGATGAGGAGGTCGCCGTAGTCCTCCCATGCGTCCATCGTCAGGCCGGAGAAGAACTCCCGGCGGTCCTTGTCGGCGAGACTCAACAGGTGCGACATCTTCTCCTCGGCTTTCGTGTCGGGTCCGGGAGGCGCGATGCTTGGGGTTGTTGAGAATACTGGGGGAGGTGGCGTGGTTTTTGTTTCTGCGGGGGTGGCAGCGGAGGAGTTGGGGATATGGTCGAAGGGTTCGGATTGGAGGTCCGCGAAGGATTTTTGGCGGAGGACTTCGGGCGGGTAGTCGGGTTCAAGCTGGCGCTTTCTGGAAGAGGGGTCTTCTTGGAGTTCCGGGCTGGAGCTGCTGTCTGGGCTGATGCGCTGGACAGATAGGCGGCGGGAGAAAGGGTCGTTGATGGGATCGTGGTCGTGGTCGTGGTCGTCTTTGTTGTGGTCGTGATTATCATCGTGGTCGTTGTCCAGGTCGTCGATGTTGGTGATGTCAAAGGCACTCAGCGGGGGCAGGCTCCCTCGTCTCCTGAAGTCACTGTCGAAAAGGCCGTACTCCTCCGCGATGTCGCGATGATTCTGATCCTGATTCTGTTGTTGTTGTTGTTGGTGGTGGTGGTGGTGGTGATGGTGGTGACGCTGGTAATGACCGACTCCGCCTGCCACGTCCTTGCCTGGCTGGGGGCGTGGTCCAGACGTCCGGCGGGTCGGGGTCAAATCTAACTGTTCCAGGAGGGTGGGCTTCGGGGGGCTGAACCTCGTCCGGGGAGTCGCTGTCACGCTGCGTGGGAGAGTGACCTTTCGGCTGTTGCCGCCGGCTAGGGGCAAGACCTGACTGGCGGTCATCATCCTGGAGTCGGAGTGGGCTTGCCGCAGTGTTCCAGGACCGGAAGCCTTAGCCGGCTCCAGGTACACGGCGGGGATCGCGGCGGGAGCGTCCTCGGTGGGATTCTGATAGGTGCGACGGCTGGCGCTCCAGAAATTCTGCAGACGTTTGCTCAGGGGTTCGTTGGCCGTCGTGGTTGACGACCTGTAGCGCCGGGCATAATCCGCGGCGTCCTCGGTCGTGTCGGACTGCTCATCATCCCCGACGACGGAGGTTAACTGGCTCTCGGCATCGTCGGCCGCATCCCCTGAGTCGAAGCCAGCCGACTTCGGGGCGTTGTCGCCAAAGCTCGCGTACCAATTGGCATCGTGCGAGCGTTGCGGGGGATGAGACTGGGACGGGTGCGGTTGGAATATCTTCGGGTCGGGGGCGGCGTGATGCTGCGCTGTGGATGATAATTGATACTGAGGGGAAATGTCGTCGAATCCTAACACGCTGGTTGCTGCGATGGTCGAGTCATCAATTCCCTCCACGTCGGTGTCGAACATGTCCCTGTGCGCGGCGTCTTCGACTGGTGGTGGTTGCGGCTGCTGCGCATAGTGCTCAAATAGGTTGGCTTGATTGCCCGGTAGTGGTACCGGAGCAATCAGGTTGGTGGACGGTACTTCAACCCTTGCTTGGGCTGCTAAGGCCTGTCGGGATGAGAGATTTTGATCATGATTTTGGGGTTGGTTTTCACTTGTGCGAGATCGCGGTTGGGCGCCGGGTGGTCTGGCATGCACATAGTCTCCCACGCCCATCGTCACTGACAGTGGTGGAGCAAGGCTCAACGGTCGAGAAATCAGAGTCGGGCAGAATAATCTCTTTCAGCAGGTTCATGAAAAGCGTCTTCGGTGAATGCTCAACCTGTACACATCACAACAATTACATATGTCGAGAATCAGAATTGTAACATGGTCGTAGCGTCGTGGCAGTCATGAGTCTGGAAAAGTGGTCGAATCAAGTTGGTCAACGCGTTGGATTCTTTCGTCAGGCACACGAGGCAGCCACGGGGTCACGTGGTACAGTACAGCAAAGCCCTGTATGTACATCGATAAGAGTAGCCAGATGGATGCCTCGTTTTATGGATGCGTTTGTTCCCTCATATGTTTGGTTGTATGCTAGTCTCATTATTGGAAGTTTTGAAGTGGAGATCTGATTTTACATTGGGATTTTCATGTAGACCGGTCTGGGGAGATGCCGTTACATATATTCACACCATCATGTTTTGCACCAACAACATGCACCAACTAAGTCATACAGATAACACTAACTCCAATAGCCCATCGACTCGTTATCATCAATGTGTAAGTCATCAAGAGTAGAAGTTACCCCCTTGCCACGCTGCTTGGCTTTGTGGAAGAATTCTTCGGACTTCTGAGTCTCGGACGCACGCTTTTCCATCGCAAGTCTACGTTCGCGTCTATCCTGGATCGAATACTGCATGTTGTCGGACATCGAGTCTTCATCCTCGTCATCGGTATAGTAGTCGTGGTCAGTCTGGCCTCCAGGCACGGAGGACACAAATAGATCAGCAATCCAGCGTGACACCATTCCCCTAAGCTCTAACAATTCTGGAGAATCCGAATAGGGCGGAGAGCCAAGAATCTCATCCATTCTCCCCGCAATCTTTTGCGCTTGATTGAGCTCTGCTTTGCGCACGTCGGCAATGAGCGCGTGGGCCCTTTCCTTGGAATCACGATGGCCGTTGTGGTCGGAGGCAAGATCTTCATCCTCCGAATGCTGTCCGTATTCATCGGTATGACGAATCCAGATGTTCTGTCGACCAACCTCGCTCTCCTCCTGGGCCACATAAACCCAGAGGCCGAACATGGCAGGGTAGAAATGCAATGAGCTGATGGAGTCTGGAGAAGCCTTCCGGTATGGATGCTGGATGATCAGCCTCTCATAATACTTCTTGGCATCCTCAAAGCCCTTCCTTGTGAACATGAGCTGTGGACCCGACCCTGGTGACTGGGAACCGCCGTTGTCGCTGCCATTTTCAGCAGCCATGTCTGCGATTTGACGGCCGCGCCGGAGCAGAATTTCCGCACCAATTCCCCATCTCCCCTCAGTCCGCGCATCGATCGGTCTTCCATTGAATTCTTCTCGGAGAAGTAGTCCCCAGGCTCTTCCCGCTCGGACATAGTCCCTTTGAAGAAGACAGCGGTGCAATATGGATGTCAGCACAGCCAGGTGCTGCAGACGGAGGTTACCCTGATGAGCAGCAGACTGGGGGGGATATATGGGAGAAGAGAGAGAGGATAGCTTTTCAAGCACCCCTTCCCGCGTCTGTCGAGTGGAAGACTGGGTTTGTGCAGGTGCATGCGGAAACTTGCCGCCCGGTAATTCCTGGTCGAAAGACAAGCCCGCAACGCGGTATTGATGAGCTTCATCTGGTGACAAAGTCAGAGATGGCGCAGGCAGCGCAACTTCCGAAGCAGCATCGGTGGTTTCTCCTAGGTCGTCATCATCATTGTCACCCCAGTCATCAAGGGTCTTCTTGCGCTTTTTGGCCTCATATTTAGCCACCCGTGCACTCTGAGGTTGCTGCCATGGAGGAAGCGGCAAGGAGAAGAAGGAAGCCGAAGGAACAGATGCCATGAAGATCTGAATTTTTGGAACCTGAGAACCTTATCTATTCAGTGACAATGTATGACGAAGGCAAATTAAGGTCCCATGGGGAGTGGCCATTTAGAGTGGTTGAATCTGGCTGGAAAATCAGACACGGTACTGCATGCAGACTTTCGGGTCTCCTCTTGGGGTCTCGTCCAGATAAGACCTTTTTCTTCTTCTGTTTCTTTCTTTCTTTCTTTCTTTCTTTCTTTCTCTTTTTTGTCTTGTTCAAATATTCTCAAACACTGGCCTTCTGAGGCACCAGCAGCTGCTTGAGAGAGAAAGAAAGTCCTAGAGAATATAGATAACTGCACGAGTGAAGAGTGACCAATAATGGAGGGCTGATAGTGAGTTATCGGGATGATGGAGGATTGAGGATGGATTCATCCTTACCTTAGTATCCGTAGTGTCTCAAGTCTCAAGCACGTTACCGACTCTCCACGCTAAACTCAATTTAGCCAGACAAACCGCCGAAACCGCCATGATGCTAAGCCCTTTCAAGCCATCGGGCGCCCCGGACACCTCAACAGAACTCACCTCAGGCTGTAGATTACATACTATGGTATGTACTTACGGGGTAACTTACACTCCAGGGCAGCCTGTCTGTTACTCTAATTCGAGTAAGTACTGTATGTTAAGGTATCCGTTGTCTCCTCTTCCTCCTCCTCCTCCCTCCTCCTACTCCTCCCATCCCATTCCTCTATCCCGTCATCATTGTCATCAGCCAGCCTCGAACCTCCCTCTGTCTTCGTGCTTCATCCCTGAGCTGCAAGGCTCACCTCCTCCTTCCATCCCTCACTGTCTCCCCTCTTTTTCTTTCTGCTTTTTTTTCTTGTCCTCCTTTTCCTTCTTTCTTTCGCCGCTTGTACATACATACGATTGCACTTTACTCCGATTGTCGTGGGGTCTCTCCCCTCTCTCCCCTCCCCTCCCCGAAAGTCGTACAGCGTCAAATCCAAATACAAAAAACCCGCGCCATACACCTCCCCTTCCTGGCTTTTGAAAGGGTTGGCAGACACCTGCTGGCAGGCTGGTTTTGACATCAATACTTTTCACATTTCGGAACACCTCTCTGGGAAACTTCACGATTCTTTGTGAAGTTGCGGACCGCGATTAGCACTTGATTCCCGTTGCTGCATTCTGTGACGCGGAAGAAGCCTAACGATTAGCTGCGACCTGAGCATTGCTTCCTTCCTGCGAACACACACCCTTTTCACCCAGCTCAGCCGCTTTGCTCTAGAATACCTCTCAAATCCTCTTGTAGTCAGCATCGGATGTCATCGGCTTGTCAGACAAACTGTCAAATGGTACGTATCTCCTGGGCACTACCCTCGTGTCGCCCACAAATTGGTACCCATCTGGTGGCGCTAGTTTGTGTGCGCTGCCTAGATGTTTGTCTTTCCAACCACGGACTCTTATCCTGACCTCTATTTTCCTTCACCTTCCATGTGGATTCCAACTGGTTTGGACTGAATTGCAGCTGTGTATTGTCTGACTAATGCTGGTTTCACCTTTAGTCATCAATTTCTGGATGGCAATAGGCAGCTCATAAACATCCATTGCCACGGCCTACTATCGCCTTGCTGTTACTATGGGACAGTCTTCCTCAACGCAACGAAATCATCGCCACAGCACCCCCTCAGAACGCTTTTTCTCTTTTCACGCGCATCGAAGTCGGCTAGATAGGAATGAAGATATGAATCGAAGGCACAACTCGGATCAAACGGGGGATGTTCATTCCCCACCAGGAATGGAAGCGGACAACAGTGGAATTCAGCATGAACCGACAGGGGCCGAACAGCCTGAGACACGGCAGCCCATGATGTCTTCACTCGGCGAGCAGCAGCAGATGGGGAGCATGCACGAGGAGGACGGGTCGCAGTTAGGACAAAGCCAGCGGGACAGTCGCTCAGCCATCTTCGCTCGTATGGCAGCGAGAAGGCAGTCCACCATGTCTCGACTGGGCTCCAGGATCTTACCCAACTCCGTGATCCGTGGTCTACTAAGCAGCGAAGAGGAAACACCAGCAGAAGGCCACGCTCACCGCCATGGCATCGTTTCAAGGTCAGTCCCCAGAACTGAAACTACACACAGCAGCAGTCGGTTCAGCCCGTTCAGTGGGATCTCCAGACGACGCTCTGCACGTGGGCCCTATTATATTCCTCGCAGTGACCCCCTTCTTGATCCCTCCAGTCCTGGCGCATATCTTGCCGCCCCAGAAAATGGTTCTGAAGCCACCAGAAGCCCGTGGAGGCGCAGTGCTCGACTGAACCGTATGCGAAATTCAATTTCGGGCCCGATTACGCACATGTTTGGACAGTCATCGAACATTTCAGGCCAGAACCTGGGACCACCGCCGCAGTTACCCTTGGGATCACTTCCTGGTGAGGACCATGAAGGCCTTCTTCCATACCCAACAGCTATGGATACACGGATGGACTTTGATGAGCCTCATGAACTCGATTCGGTGGAACCGGCAGTGGGAAGCTCTCGGCCAACCTCTCCCATGTCGCAGTCAGCGCAGGGTTCTCCCGGGTCACGACAACTTCCGGATTCACTGCGGGTAAGGTCATCACGCATGCTGCGCCGGGAGGAACAAACACCTCTATCTCGTGTACTTCAGCTGGCAGCTGCCGCCATTGCTGCCCAACTTTCTGGAACGACTGGGCCTGTTATGCCCAACATTCAATCTCTTGGTAACGATGGCCTGGATGGCTCGCTTGAAAACTTTATCCAAAGCTTGCAGCATGCAACGTCTGCACAGCAGCCTACTCATAACGATGCACCGACTCCCGCAGGGGATACTGCTCCCCAAACCCCAGTCAACTTCCTAAGGGTATTTCGATTTGCCAACTCGGACAATGCTCGGCCCAGTGGACCCGCAGATCGCCCAAGTGCGGATAGCGATAATGCAAGCGGTACTGGGACACAGATGGATGTTGACGGCCCTACCGAGGGTCCGGAAGGTCGCACGGTCACTTTGGTTGTGGTTGGGGTTCGCTCAGTCCCGTCAGGTAATGGCTCCACCGGTGAACAGGGCGGCAATGCGGCTCCTGGGCTCGATGCACTGCTTCGTCTGCCATTTTTGACGCCTGGAAACCTGTCACGGAGTCAGGATAGCAATTCGACTTCTCCATCACGTGGTGAAGGCAGACCGAGATTACCGCAGCTTCGCCTTCGACCCCGCAGCAATGGTTCAAATAGCATGGGTGAACCGTCTTCTCAAGGCCATTTACACCCCTCGCGACGGTTCTCTGATACGGCAAGCCGCGCTCCGCTCACATCTGTCCCTTCTATACTGTCGGAGAGTCCTCCGGGGCCTAATCCACCCCCATCAACGCCGGCTGAACCGGGACTATCAGCCGTGTCATCCGGCGCCTCGACCCCAAGTCGAAGGCCGTCTGCCGCGTCCGCAATCCCTCCCAGCGTCCTGCCTCAGCTTGACGAGAATAGGGCATTGCAACCCACGGCTGAGTCGGTCGAAGACGGCATCCCGCCGACAGCAACACGACAACGACGTCGTAGTGACTCTGAGTATGCGCGCCATCGTGAATTAGGATCTGGTGCGGTCAGACGCAACGGCGTGGTAGAACCTGATAACGGCACACCCCCTACGGGCAGAAGCTGGTTGATCTATGTTGTTGGGACCAATCTGTCGGAAAATCATCCTGCCTTTGCTACTCCGAGCCTGTTCACAGATGTAAGATCGATCATCCGTGTTTGACGTTCATTCATGACTGACAACTTGCAGAACCCAACATATGAAGACATGATTCTGCTCTCATCTCTTCTCGGGCCAGTCAAACCACCCGTTGCTACTCAGGACGATCTCACCTCCGCTGGTGGCATGTTCCGACTTGTCGAATACGGAGGTACCCTCATTGCGGAGGCTCTAGAGGGCACTGGTAACATTCATCTACCCGAGGGTGAACGTTGCTTGATCTGCTTAAGTGACTATGAGGTGGCCGATGAGCTTCGGCAATTGAACAAGTGCAAGCATTTGTTTCACCGGGATTGCATAGATCAGGTATGCTCTTCATGATTCTACGTTGTTGTAAGCACATTGCTGATATCAATTTTATAGTGGTTGACAACAGGCCGTAACTCCTGCCCTCTGTGCCGTGGCCAGGGTGTGGCCGAATCCTCTAATGCTGGACCGGCCGCAGAGGCGCCGGATGTAACAGCAGCCTGACGACACCTAGCCGAGATTAGCTTGTCTCTTTTCTTACTCTGGAGATACATTTATTATCCTTTAACTAACCTTGAACTTCTCTTAGCATGAAGCGTCTATACCAAAGCCTGATGAATGACTTTAGCTTACTTTCTCATGATATCCCTTCACGGACATCAAGCGTGGCTCTTTCTTTTCTCCTCCTTCAACCTGAATGGCCTTTCTGGTTAAATTCTTACCTTCCGGGATTCTGCAAACACTGGCGGTGACTCATGAATAGAAGGTTGCATATATGTATGCATCCTTGTATAGTGCCGTTAGCTGTCACGGGTCTCACAGGCCATGGCATGGAGACCCTGTATCGATTTTGTGTGACATATCCCCGGATAATTTCCCCCTGTTCTGCCACCAGATTATGCTGTACTATTCCCCACTTTGTTTGATATTTGGATGTTGGCCTGTGAGCTGGAAATGCACCGGTGCATAATACCTCTTTTTACTCCTGTCTTTGTTTTTAAGGATTGTGCGGGATAGTCGATGGAAATGGGACTAGGTATATCAAGCGAATGAAGCTTTGTTAATCCCACCTGTATCCTGTCTTGAATCATTGACTGATTATTCATATACGTATATATCAGTTAAAGGACTAGTAGCAGCAAGATACAGTATATCTTGGTAGACCTGTTTCAAATATCAAAACAATTATAACTATAAGAGATAGTAAGCTCTTAGGCTTCTGTCTCTGTTCTAGCTAATTACAAGTTATACAGGCTGATTTTTGTTAGATAGAAGATCCCCCCTAGTCTCATGTAGACGTTCCTGAGTAATCCACCTACATAACTAATCCAACGCGGTTACTAGACTGCTTCACATGTTGATATTTCAGATAGTTTAACCATGAAGAGCCACCAAGGAATCAAGAGGTTGCTCCATACTGCCCACCCCGGCGTGCCTCAAATTGCTTACGTCTTAACCAGGCTACATTAACTTGTATCTTCGGGGCGGGTTGGTATATATTCTATACCTAAGTTGTTCTCCCTTCTGTCTGTACTTAAAATTAAGACTGGTTGCCCTTTCCTTTTAAGGCTAAAGTCTCCCCAGAGCTAGCCCAAGGTCTATAGTCGAAAAAACGACCACCACTATCAATCAATGCATACAAAGCCCCGATGTATCCTGTCTTCTAATTGACCCT